TGGGGTTTGGGGTTTATGGGATTTGGGATCGGGGATTTGGGGTTTGGGATTTATGGGATTTATTTATGGGATTTGGGATTTGGGGTTTATGGGGTTTGGGGTTTATGGGATTTGGGGTTTGGGATTTATGGGATTTGGGGTTTATGGGATTTGGGATTTATGGGATTTGGGATTTATGGGATTGGGAATGTGGGGTATGGGGTACAGGGATGACTTGCTGCTGTTCTTCCCATTTTCCCTCACTTTCCCCCCATTTTTGCCCCATTTTCTTCACCCACTTTTCCCTGTTTTTCCCCATTTCCCCCCCATTTTTCCTCAATTTCTCCCCCATTTCTCCCCATTTTTCCCCATTTCTCCCCATTTTCTCCCCATTTCTCCCCATTTTCTCCCCATTTCTCCCCATTTTTCCCCATTTTTCCCCATTTTCACCCCATTTCTCCCCATTTCACCCCATTTTTTCCCCATTTCACCCCATTTTTCCCCATTTCTCCCCATTTTTCCCCCATTTCACCCCATTTCTCCCCATTTTCACCTAATTTCTCCCCATTTTTTCCCCATTTCTCCCCATTCTCACCCCATTTTCACCCAATTTCCCCCCGTTTCTCCCCATTTTCCCCTAATTTCTCCCCATTTTTTCCCCATTTTTCCCCATTTCCCCCCATTTTCACCCCATTTTTTCCCAATTTCCCCCCGTTTCTCCCCATTTTCCCAGCCCCGAGTATTCCCGGTACTTTTCCCGGCGGGATCTGGAGGCGTTTTCTGCGGAGCCGCTGCTGCTGTTCCCCACTCACTACACGGGGGAGCCCGGCTACGTCAGCGACACCGAGACGCCCCCGGCGCCGCCCCGCGACGAGCTCTGACCCCAAAATAAAATTTACATCTTTATTTTTAAACTGCTTTTTGCTGGTTTTATTTTCCGGATTTTTTTCCCGTTTTTTGGGGATTTTTTCTGGGGTTTTTTGGGATTTTTTGTGGGTTTTTTGGGGATTTTTTTTCTGTTTTTTGGGGATTTTTTCTGGGGTTTTTGGGGATTTTTTCTGGGTTTTTTTGGGATTTTTTGTGGGTTTTTTGGGACTTTTTTTCTGGTTTTTTGGGGATTTTTTCTGGGGTTTTTTGGGGGTTTTTTCTGTTTTTTCTGGGATTTTTTCTGGTTTTTTGGGATTTTTTCT